ATAAAGGCAACAGATGCACTGTGAAGAAAATTTAGATAACATAAAAGAGTAATAGGATGAGAATTAAAATCCCACACAATCTCACACTTAGATGACCAGTTTTTTTTTTTCCTGTGAATACATTTCTTTTAGATTGGGAATATACTGTGTATATTTTCATTTAACCTTTTTTCACTTGGAAGATCATGAATATTTTCCGTTTGCCTAAACATTTCTTGAGATCCGATATGGTTAATGGTAAGTATACAAGGTTCTATTGTATAATTACATCATAGAGAACTCAGGTTGTTTTCACTTTTTTCTCCTAAATAGTATTGTAGTGAATGTCTATGTATATAAAATCCTCCATTTCAATTTTTCACTTGTCTTTATTTAGTGGGGTGTGTGTGTGTGTGTGTGTGTGTGTGTGTGTGTGTGTGTATGTGTGTTTGTGTATGTGTGGTACTGAGTATTAAGCCAGGGAATGCTGAGCTGCATCCTCAGCTGTGTCTGTCTGTATCTGTCCGTCTCTCTTTCTTTTTTTAATCCCTCTCCCCCCACTCCTTCTTTCTTTCTTCTTTCATTTTGAGACAGGATCTTGGTGTTGCAAAATTGCTCTTGCTGGCCTCAAACTTGTGATCCTCTTGTCTTAGCTTCTGAGTAGCTGGGATTACAGTGTTTGCCACCACGTTCAGCTTCGTGATTCTATATGTATATGAAGGGTTAAAGTATATGTGTTAAAGATACTACTCAGTTTTTTTCCCTCAAGTCTGGCATGAAATAATCCTCTGAGTAGCAGTTATTTATTTCATGGGTTAGGAAACTTTCTACCTTGCTTTCTCTGCAATATACAGATGATTTTTTTGTACTTCAAAGTTGGTACTGTTACTAGAATCCTAGGGCAGAGAGAGGTCTGACTTCAGGGAGTTCTAAAAATTGGGTCTGGCCATTCACTTCAAAGATCAAATGAGGGAAAAAAGTAATGGTAAAAAACATGAAAGAAATTTACACAATATGCTTATAGCTATATTGGGAAGATGGCAGGGTGCAGGGGAGATATCCAAGCATCCACAGCCCTGTCTTCACGGGTGAACCAAGAGCTCCAATAAGATTATATAGGAAAGGTGGGCATAATTAATCTGTCTTGGTTAAACTGATCTGATTGGTTGCTATCTCAGTCCTGATTCTGCAAGGCTCCAGGGAAGTCTTATCTTGTAAGCATGAGGAGGGAGGTGATTTCTCCTACTTTAGGTGGCAGCCTCAGTTCCTGTCTTGGGGTGCTATACCTGCAAGGATTACTTGCTCTTCCCAGCAGCCTTAGGGTAATGACTGCAGACTTCTAGGTACCACTGCAGGGATCTGGAACTGGACATATAAGCAGTCAGTTCACAGTCTATTGATTTTTAGGTCCTTTACAATTTTTTTTTTTTTTGGTACCAGGGATGGAACTCAGGGCCTTGCTCTTGCGAAACAGGCAGCGGAACCACTGAGCCAAATCCCTGGCCCTCATGTCCTTTAAATTTTTAAAGCTGAGTTGAGCACAGTTTTAAGGAAATAAAGGAGGCAGGTACAAAAGGAAGGCAGAGATGGCAATACCGTGAAGTAGTAGTATTGACTGCAGTAAATTTATTTCTTCAAAGAGCATAAAAACTAACCCTCTTATAGTACATATTACAGATAAAGGAATGTTGGACTAAGTTTCTGTTTAATTAGAGTAAGTGATCTTTTGTTATAGCATAAGAAATATGGGATAAATATAAGAAAGTATTTTCTCTTATGTTACTATGATTGTAGAAGAAAAGAGATATAATATTTCTTTAATATTCTTCAAAGAGAGAGGGGGTTGTAAGGATCATTTAAGTGAAGGACTTCCTAAAGGATTATCTGTATAAACATCTGGTATATTCAGCATCTTCAGAAGAAGTTAGTTTTAAAAACTTTGAAAAAGGGTACGTAGGAAAGGTAGAATTATTAATGTTTTAGAAGAATATATGAACAACTTGACATAAGATCTCATGCTTACGTCTTTAAAATAATTTATACATTAAAAATACTGGAAAAACATGTTTTGCTTTTATGTTAAGTACACATAGACTAAAGAAAGCCTTTTAATAGTCTCAAAACTTTAAAATTATGTAGAACCATATTAGAAAAAGTAAATATATGTATAAGAAAATCACAGGCTTGTATTTCTTTTTTCTTTTTCTTTTTTCTGGTACCAGAGATTGATTTTAGGACCTTGCACTTAGGAGGCAAGTGGCAGAACAGGTTTATATTTCATGAACAGAATATAGGCATTAGATTGTCTAGCCTATCCAGTTTATAGATGAAATTTATAGATGAAGTCACAGAGAATGTTGCTTTCCCTAAACCACATGACTGATTTTGGACTGGAGACTGTGGTTTTCCTTGAGTGATAACCCCAGGCACCTCCATTAAATGCATATTCCAAAGCCGGTCGTGGTGGCACACGCCTGTAATCCCAGCACTCGGGAGGCTGAGGCAGGAGGATTGCTGTGATTTCGAGACCAGCCTGAGCTACACAGTGAGTTCCAGGTCAGTCTCACTACATAGTGAGACCCTGTCTCAAAAACCAAAAAAAAAAAAAAGCATATTCCAGCTGGGTATGTTGGCATGTACCTGTAATCCCAGTCTTAGGAGGCTCAGGCAGAAAGATCTCAAGTTCTTTACTAGGCTGAGCAATACTAAAAAAATAAAAAATTCCTTACAAGGACATACCACTTTAAAAAAATTTTTTAAATTGAGTTTATTGGTACATTTAGGTATACCTTCTGATCACATTCATCATTGGGAATTTGTACCTATACATGATTATATCTATATCTATATCTATATCTATATCTATATCTATATCTATTTTTTTGGTACCGGGATTGAACTCAGGTCTTTGTGCTTGAGAGGCAGGTGGCGGCACCACTGAGTAAATCCCCAGCCCTATATATCTATATATCTTGATTCTTATTTTTTCCCATTCCTGTGCCCTCCCTTCAACTCCTCCACCCCCCATACACATAAACTTTGTTTCCATTTTTTCCTTCTTTCAACTTTTCCTTTCCCTCTTTTCTTCCCCTGCTCCCCCATTCCCCTTTCCCTTTAAACATTTTCTTCCTATTTCACAATATCTATTATACATTTTGGTCCTCATTTACACCTTCAGTTTCTCACACCAGAATATTGATTCAGTATTTACACATGTGTGTCCTGTTTATTTCACTTGAGTATGGCCTCAGGGTGCATCCATTTAGCTATGAATGTATCAAGTGTGTCTTTCTTTTTTTTTTTGTACGGGGGATTGAACTCGGGTCCTTGCGCTTTCAAGGCAGGCCACCGAACTGCTGAGCTAAATCCCCAGCCCAAGTTTGTCTTTCTTTATGGTTGAGTAATGCTCTATTTTATTTAAAAAAAAAAAAACAAAACACATCTTTATCCACTCACCAGTTGATAGGCCTTTGGGCTGTTTCCAAGATTTAGCTATTATGAATAGCTAAATAGTTTTGAAGGACATACCACTTTTAAAACCAGTTTTTGATTGGCACATGCTTGTAATCCCAGCACTCAGGAGACTGAGGCAGTAGGAGTACAGGTTTGAGGGCAGCCTGGGCTATATGTAAATTCAAGGCCATCCTAGCTTACATAATGGGATCCAGTCTCAAAAAAGAAACAAACTTTTTTTGCAGTTAAGGGAAGAAAGGAAATTTAAAAATCTATGTTAAACAGTTGGTAAACACTTAGGTTAAATTTCTCATAACTAAAATACCTTTTTCTTTAATCCCACCTCTACTTTGTTGTACTTTTCTGGATGAAGTGACACACCTGTCGAGGCACAGCGGCCTATTAGCAGTGACATCTTGGGCCAGAGCACAGTTTCAGAAAAAGAGTCTGCAAATGGAGCACAGAATCCAGGATCAGCTAAGCAAGAAAAAAATGAGGTAATATTTACCATATCTGGTATATTTTATCATTCTTTGTAAGAAGTGATAGTATTTTTTTAAGGAGGAGAATTTTAGCATGGCTCATGGAAGAAATAGTGTTTGGTATATAGAATTTTAAAGTAATTTTGTGATTTTGGGGAGTAAGAATATCTATTTATTTATTTATTTATTTTTTTGGTACCAGGGATTGAACTAGGGTCCTTGGGCTTCCAAGGCAGGCCACCGAACCAATGAGCTAAATCCCTGGCCCAAGAATATCTAGACTTATTATTTATTGGCTCATGTTCTGTTTTCTACCCAAAGAGTATAAGGGGCATTTAGTTGTTATTGTGTATTTTGTAACATTTTTAACAGATGAATTTATCAAAAATATTAAATACCACATTAATTTTATGTATTTCAAAACTCAAATAATTGAATTTTTATTAAAGGTGGCTAAATTGCATTTTAAAGGCATATTAAATTTAATAAAAATTAGATATTTACAATATTGGATTATTTTTATCTAAATCTAGGGATCCAAATTGTTGTTACCATTTTGGTGTTTTTGAAAGGAAATTGTATTATAAAGTAGGATGTGAGTTATGTAGTTTTCCACTTAGAAGATATTTTTTTTCCTCTTTTTTAAACCTGTGAAAATTTTAACTTGATAATGTACTACTTGCATTTAAAGAAATGATCTAAAAAAAAAAGAAAGAAAGAAACATGATCTAAATACTCATAGTAAGGTATAGCTTCAGTTTAGACCTCATGTTCTCAATACAAAAGCCTTTAAGGAAGAGAGAGAACAAAAAGGTATTTTCATGTGTCACAGCATGAAAATGAGAATACTGAATCAACAGCTGAGATACTGCTTTATGTCCTGTGCTTTCTGATTATTAACTCTTTAGTGTTGGAACCAACCTTAATGGTTATCACATACCCCCATCACTTTAGATGGCATTGGGTATCAGTTTTTTGGGTTTTTTTTGGGGGGTGGGCTGGATCTCAATTAGGAAAGCCTGTATTCCTTTTGCTACAGCCTTAACTGTGCCAGGATTACAAGCATGCACCACAGTGCCTGGCAGTTATACTCCTTCTTACATGTATCAAAACTCACAGTAAACGGTGAGTTCTGGCTTGCAGAAGAGCGTGTATTTTGTGCACTTGTCTGTAAGTCTTAATTCACAAATCAGACAAATACAGACATAAGTGCTACTTAGAAGATATGGATAAATGTTTGTTAAAATTTAAATAATTTTATTTTCAACTAAATCGTAAGAGAAATTAGGAAAATTATTACTAAAATTACATATAGATACATATCAAACAGTATAGCCCCAGAATATAATGCAAACACTGACAGGCGTGAAGAGAGAAATAGACATTTCTGAAGTAAGAGTTGAGGTTTGCAATACCCTACTTTTACAGTAAGGGGTAAGAAATTTAAGTTGAAAATAAAGGAATAGAGGACTTGATCAGTAATATAAATTAACTAGATTAAACAGATATTCCACCCAACAACAAGAATACACATCTTCCTCCATTGCATGTAGAATGTTATTTAAGATAGGACATCTAGGGCTGGGGATTTAGCTCAGTGGTTCTGCTGCCTGCCTTGCAAGCACAAGGACCTGAGTTCAATCCCTGGTACAAAAAAAAGATAGGACATCTATTAGGGCACAAACAAAATTCAATACATTTTAAGAGATTAAAATTATAATTAAGTTTCATCTCTGACCACAGTGGAATTAAGCTAGAAATTAACAGAAGGAAAACTGGAAATTCACAAATTTGTAAATTTGTGTATTTTCTATGAATAGATGTGACAAACTTTCTTTTTTTTTTTTATGACAAACTTTTAACTAATGAGTTGAAGAGATCACATGGGTAATTGGAAAACAGACCAAAAGTGAGAATATAACATATCAAAATTTATAGGATTCATTGAAGGCATTGCTTGAAGAAAATTTGTAGATGAGCTGGATATAGTTTGGTGATAGAATGCACATACAGCGTGCACAAGGTCCTCAGGTATTACAAAAACAAATAACCAAAAAAAAAAAAAAAAAGTATTTGACTAGTGAAGGTGGTAGCCTCAATGGAGAGTCCAGCTGATGAGACAAAGTTGAGCTGGTGTAAGATTTACATCTACTTATGCCAATGCTTACCTAGCAGTCAGAGAACATCAGGGCTATGGTGAAATTCAAGAAGGCAAACCCGAGCCTCCCTTTTCTAGTTGCTATGCATTCAGTCAAGAGAAGAATGCCTCTTTGAATTTATGTGTTGGTCACATAAGCAGAGCCCTGGAGAATGTGCTGAGTGGCAAAGCCTGAAGTATCTACTGCAGATTATGAGCAAGAGCCTCAGAATTAGGCTCTGCTGGACGGAGTACAATGTCGAAAAATGCATTTTCTCATTTTTTATAAAGTTTGTGCTATAAAAAAAGAAAGAATAAAACCATTAGATCAGTAATCTAACTTTATGTCTTGAACTAGAAAAACGGGTTGAACTGTGGCTGTAGCTCAATGGCAGAACGCTTACCTAGCATACATAAGGCTTACTTAGTTCAGTCCCAGCACTGCAAAAACAAAACAAAACAAAACAAAAAAAGGACTTAAAACCAGTCCTTCTCAAACTCTTTCAGAAAATAGAAGAGGAAGAGCCATGGGTGGTAGTGCATGTCAGAAGGAGTGAAGCAGGAGGACTGTGAGCTCAAGGCCAACCTGAGCTACTTAATTCCAGACTAACCTGGACTACATATCAAAGCTATTGAAAAAAGGAATACTTCCTAACACATTCTATAAAGTCACCATTACCTTGATATGAAAACCAGATAAAGACATCACAAGAAAACTACAGACTAATATCCTTTATGAATATAAAAGGAAAGAATCCTTAAAAAAACTAGCAAAACAAATTCAACAGCATATTAAAAGAATTAATACAGTGTGACCAAATGGGATTTATTCTAGAATGCAAGGGTGGTTCAACAAAGAAAATCAGTGTGATATATTACATTAAAAGCATGAGGGAGGAAAAGTAATCACATGATTATCTCGATGCATTGACAAATTCTAATACCTTCTCGATAAAAAATTTCAGAAAATGGGGGTTGGGGATTTAACTCAGTGGTTCTGGCATCTGACTTGCAAGCACAAGGGCCGGAGTTCAATCCCCGGTACAAAAAAAAAAAAAAAATTTCAGAAAACTAGGAATAAAAGAGAACTTCTTCAGTATGGTAAATGGTGCCATCCATGGTACTACACACCTGTAATCCCAGCATTAGTAGGATAAAGAGGGAGGATTGTGAGTTTGGGGTCAGCCTGCCTACATAGCAAGTTTGAGACCATCCTGGACTGCATAGTGAAACCTTTTCTCAAAAAAAAAGTAAAAGGCCTTTATGAAATACCCATTGTTGACTCAGTGGGGAAAGACAGAGTGAGGGATTTCCTTTAAGATCAGGAGGAAAGACTGTAATGCTGCCTTTCACCACTGCTGTTGAACATTTTACTAGAAGTTCTAGTCACAGCAGTTGGACAATTAAAGGAAATAAATGACATTCAAATTTGAAAACATAAAACTAGCTTTATTCACAGATGATGTGTAAAAGAATGAAGTTGGATCTCTGTCTCATACCATATAAAAAATTAACTCAAATTGTATTAATAACCTATAAGAGCTAAAGCCATAAAATTCTAAGAAGAGGCAATAGGTATAAATCTTCATGACCTTGGATTTTATAATGCATTCTTAAATCTGACACCAAAAGTATGAACAACAAAAGTAAATAAATTAGACTTCATTAAAAATTAAGACCTTTTTGTGCAAAAAGATATGTTACTGTTTTGTTTTTGTTTTTGTGGTACTGAGGATCGAACTCAGGCCCTTGCTTTTGCAAGGCAGACTGCAGAACCACTGAGCCAAATCCCCAGCCCTTTTTTCTTTATTATTTTTATTTTTTTGGTACCAGGGATTGAACTTGGGTGCTTGTGAGGCAGGCAGCGGAACCACTGAGCTAAATCCCTGGCCCAAAAAGATATGTTACTAAGGAAGTGAGAATACAACCTACAGAATGAGAAAATATTTACAAGTTATATCTGATAACTGAACAAAAAGATAAGAGAATTGGAAAATGGGCAAAGGTCTTGAATATACATTTCTTCAAAGAATATATCTCTTATATATGGACAGTGGACATATAAAGATGCTTAATACCATTAGTAATTAGGAAAAGGTACATCACAGCCTAAATGAGATACAACTTTATACCCATTGGCTAGCTATAATTAAAACAATGGAAAATTAAGTATTAGTATTTGGACAGTTTGAATCCTTGTACATTGCTGGTTAGAATGTAAAATGTTCAGAGTAGTCAGGGTGGCAGGGTCTGGAGGGTATAGCTCAGTGGTAGAGTGCTCATCTAGTGTGCCCAACACCCTGTTCAATCCCCACCAGAACAAAAATAAATAAAATTAAAAATTTTTGGACCCTCAAAAGCTAAATGTAAGTGATTCCATTCCTAGATATGTACTGCCCCAAATTGAAACCATAGACTCTGGTAGATATTTCTGTATTGTTGTTCATAACAGCGTTATTCATTGAAACCAAAGATGAAAATTAGCCATTTGTCCATCCATAAAAAAATGCATCAGCAAAATGTGGGGTGTGTGTGTGTGTGTGTGTGTATGATATTATTCAACTATATATATATATATGTATATATATATATATATATACACATACATGATATTATTCAACCATAAATGGAATGAAATTCTGTTACATGCTAGAGTGCGAATGCAGCTTGAAAACCTCATGCTGCATTAAAAAAACAGATATGAAAGGACCAATTCTGTGTGATTCCACTTATGTGAAATTCACATAAGGCAAATTCACAGAAATAATACAGACTAAATTAGAGATTACCCGGGGCTGAAGCAAGGAGAAAATGAGGAGATATTACTTAATAGTTACAGTTTTTGTTTGGGATGTTGAAAAAGTTGTGAATATGGTGTTTTTATGCAACATTGTGAGTGTAGTTAATGCTACTGAATTGTACACATAAAATGGCTAAAATGATAGCTTTTATGTAACATTTTACTCTAATAAAAATTCAGTTACATATGGGTAATTTTATCTGAGTTATTGCTGTACATTATGATAAAAAAGAATTTTTTTTTTCAGTACTGGGGAGTGAACCCAGAGCATTCATACTCAGCTGCATATCTAGCTCTTTTTTATTTTCTTATTTTGAGACAGAGTCTTGCTAAATTACTCAGTTGCTCAGGATGGAGTAGAATTTTCTGTCCTTCCCACAGTGTGGAATTGATTATAGGTGTGTACAACCACATCTGGTCAAGAAGGATTATTTCTGTTTTCCAGAGAAGCGAAAAGTTTTAGCTTTAGGTAGCTGTACAAGACTCTTGGGTATACTTATTAATCAGTATTTGGTCAATTTTAGAGGTTTCTGATTTTTTTTTTCAGGATAATCCCAGTGAAATATTACTAGACTTTGACTTTGTGGGAAGTCTTTCCTTGCCAATATTGGAATTTACTAAATATCTCAGTCCTGAAAGTTTGAGTTCTATATAGTTCTTTTATTTTATTTTTGTTTTTGATTTTTAGTACCAGGGATTGAACTCAGGTCCTTGTGCTTGCGAGGCAGGTGGCGGAACTACTGAACTAAATCCCTGGCCCTGTATAGTTCTTTTAGAATAATTATATACAAACATCGAGACTGCTAAATTTAAGGCTCACTTATGAAAGAACATTTGAAATCTATTTCTTTGGCAAATTTTGTTTCTTTCTATAGAAACTTATTAGACCATTGATATGCTTATATTGACCATGTTTAACAAGGATAATATTGTGTTCATTAAATATTAGTGCAGTTCCTCAATATGTATTTTATTTTAGTATAAAATTTGTCTTTTCAAACATTTTCTTTGTTCTGCTTATAACCATTAATTTGCATTTTTTCCTTTTGGTGGTACTGGGATCCACATGTGCTATGGAAGCCTTCTGCCACTGAACTACATCTCCAGTCCTTTGGGAGGAGGTCTCACTAAATTGTTCAGACTGACCTTGAACTTTTAATTTTCCTGTTTCAGCCTCGTGAATAGCTAGGACTACAGGCATGTGCCACAGCACTGTTTGATTTTTATTTTGGATTAGTCCAGCAACTAGCACAGTCATGCATGTTGCTTTGGAATGA